GAATCAAGTGGAATGAGAGATATTGTGTTACATTTGAGAGGAGATAACGGTTTGATGCAAATTAATGAGTGTCATCCGGCCTATTTGCCATTGCATTATGTGGTATTGTTCCCTTATGGTGAGCTAGGATGGAATCCAGATTTGAAACAGTGGAACACTTCCCAAGGTGGACCTTCATCTACTCGACTGACACAGTTGCAATATTACAGTTATCGTATGTTCCAACGTGACATTGAGTATTCAACGATTTTGAGAGCTGGAAAATTATTTCAAGAATTTGTGGTAGATGCTTGGGCCGCTACTGAACAAAATCGGTTGACATACTACAAATTGAATCAATCGAAGCTTCGTGCAGAACTTTACCAAGGTCTTACAGATGTTTGTGCAGATGAGCTTGGTCCTGAACAAGTTGGTCAACGAATGGTTTTGCCATCTTCATTCACTGGTAGTGCAAGACATATGTTTGAAATTTTTCAAGATTCAATGGCTATCACGCGGTATAATCAACACCCTGATATTTTTTTAACTATGACTGCAAATCCCAAATGGCCTGAAATTACTAATTCCCTATTGCCAAATCAGATCCCTACTGACCGTCCTGATTTAGTGGCCCGTGTTTTTGAGTTGAAGAGAAATTTTTTGATGAAGGAGATAGAAACAAATAACGTCTTTGGTAGAAAAGTGGCACATGTTTTTACAATTGAATTCCAAAAAAGGGGGTTACCGCACATGCATGCACTTTTGTTCCTTCATGGTTCTGATAAAATCCAAACATGTGCTCAAGTGGACAGAGTAGTGTGTGCTGAATTTCCGGATTGTCAAACTGACCCATTGCTTTTTGAAACAATCATAGGTTGCATGGTACACGGACCATGTGGTGCTCGAAATCCACAAGCATCATGTATGGAAAATGGGGTATGTACCAAGCGGTACCCTCGGTCATTTGTTGAATCAACAAGTATGGACTCTGATGGATATCCTGTCTATCGTCGTCGTAATACTGGTCAGAAGTACATCGTGAGGGGACAAGAAATTGATAATAGCGATGTTGTGCCACATAATCCGTACTTATCAAGAATGTTCAATTGTCATATCAATGTTGAAGTTTGTGCAGGAATCAGATGTGTAAAATACATTCACAAGTATATTTATAAAGGACATGATCGCGCAACAATGGTACTTGGAGGAATTAATGAGATCCAACAATATCTTGATGGTAGGTATATTGGACCTCCAGAAGCTGCGTGGCGATTATTTGGTAATCCTTTACATGAAGAGATTCCGTCGGTTGTAAGATTGGCACTTCATTTGCCTGGGATGCATCGTGTGGTCTTTAACCCTGCTGAATCTTTTGATACGATCCTTTCTAAAGGTGCACATCAAGAAACAACTCTAACTGGTTTTTTTGATTGTTGCGCTGCAAATGAATCTGCACGTGTATTAACTTATCAGGAATTTCCACAAAAATTTGTTTGGAACAAGTCTATCAATAAATGGACTCCAAGACAAATGGGTTATGCAGACAAATGGGTTATGCAATTGGTAGAATGTACTTTGCTAGCCCTAATTCAGGTGAGCGGTTTTATTTACGTTTGCTTCTAACTGTTGTCAGAGGACCTACTTCATTTGACTGGCTACGCACGGTAAATAATGTTATGCATGATACATTCAAGTCAGCATGTGTTGCAAGAGGACTTCTTGAAGATGATGAAGAATGGATACAATGTCTTCAAGAGGCTGCAATTATGAGAACGGGGTACCAATTAAGAAGATTATTTGCCATAATTCTAACGGAATGCTTTCCATTGCATCCATTTGCATTGTGGAAGCAATTCTCAGCACATATATGTGATGATTTAGCACACAAGATTCGTACTATGTTTGGTATTTTGAATCCAACTAATGATCATATTGAAGATTATGACTTATATTTGATTAATCAATTGCTCCATGAGTCGGGGAAGAGTTTAGTTGACTTTCCACCCATGCCACAACCAATTGGAAATTGGAATGCAACAGTTAGAAATAGATTATTGTTTGAGCATCAACAACTTCAGAATGAAGCACAACAGTCTGATGCACAAATTAATGTTGACGGTCTTAATGATGCACAACTTGCTGCTTATACTGCCGTCACAACGTCAGTATGTGAAAACATAGCAACTACTTTTTTTTTGAGTGGAGGTGCTGGGACGGGAAAAACGTTTTTGTACAATACCATTGCAACCAAATTGCGTAGTTATGGACATGTTGTTGTTACTGTGGCTTCATCTGGTATTGCATCGTTGTTATTGGTAGGGGCGCACTGCACATTCTACATTTTGTATTCCTTTGGAAACCCTAGACAATTCAATATGTGGGTTCACTAAACAATCAATGCATGCCGAATTGTTTAGAAAAACAAAGCTGATAATATGGGATGAAGTTCCTATGCAGCATCGATACTGTGTTGAGGCAGTCGATCGCACCCTTCAAGATATCAGAGACGATAAAAGACCTTTTGGGGGTATCACTGTTGTCCTGGGTGGAGACTTTCGACAAATATTGCCTGTTATTCCTAAAGGCGTTCGTGAGCAAATTGTGGGTGCATCATTGAGACGGTCTTTGCTATGGAAAGATATATGTGTTTTGACTCTAGGTTTAAACATGCGATTAACTCGCACTGACGTTCGAAATACTAATTTTGCTAAATTCTTGATGGAGGTAATATTTCATTCCACCTTGAATTGTTGAATTTTTTAACATGATGCTTTGAATTAAATCTCACTTTGTGACTAATTATACTCTCATTTTTTAGATTGGGACCAATCCACGTGAAATTGTGCAACTTCCATCTACAATAAACCGGTGTCACAATCTAAATGAATTGATATTTAAAATCTATCCACAATTGGATGTGATTGGTATAGTGACTCCAACCTTTCTCACTGAACGCACAATTCTCTCTGCGCGTAATGACGACGTCAGTGATATAAATGCTGCAGCACTGAATATTACTCCGGGAGAGACAATTACTTTTTTAGCTGCAGATAAAATGTCTGAAGGTGATGAGCTTGACCGTACCATTAGGAATCGATATCCTAATGAGTACTTAAACTCGCTGAATCCTTCAGGGTTGCCACCGTTTAAATTGGAGTTGAAAGTTGGATGCCCAATAATGTTGTTACGAAATATTGCAAAGGATGGACTTTGTAATGGCACGCGATTGATGGTTGTTAGATGTGCCTCAAGGGTAATCGAAGCTCAGATATTAAATGGAGATAAAATTGGCAATTTAGTCTTCATTCCGAGAATATCAATGACACCAACATCTTTGGACTTGCCTTTTCGAATGACAAGACGTCAGTTTCCTGTCCGATTAACTTATGCTATGACAATCAATAAAGCCCAAGGACAATCTGTCAAGTTCGTTGGGATTGATTTGCGGACACCTGTTTTTAGTCATGGACACCTTTATGTGGCACTATCTAGATGCACATCTTCAGATCGTATTACAGTCCTCCTTCCAGAAGATGGGTCGAATTGCACTACAAATATTGTTTACCCAGAAGTTTTGTTATAAGATTCTTACGACAAGTAAATGGTATAGTTTAAACAAATTTATTTCTACTAAATTATGTAATCTTTTCATCATTTCAACTTTTAGTTTTACAATGAGATTCATTCTTTATAGGATTGGAGTGAATTTGTCAACGAGAACGATAGTGTATATACAATGGACCTTTGTGGATGGGGCCGACGTAATCAGGTAAATCTACTTTATGTCACTGTATTAAAATAACTTTACTATTCCTACAATATAAATATTGTGTTACTTTTATTGTTTATGTGAATAATTAGGTGGTTGTGCATTCTCCTCATTGGGCAAAGTGCGTTCGTATTGATACGAGGACATTAAGGATAGTGATGAAGAGAAGGTTTAAAGGGATGAATAAGACATTTAAGAGAGTTAAATGATATGCAATCCATTACCGACCTGTCCACCTTTGACGATGACTAACTCATCACTGACCAAACAATTGTTTAGGTATGAAAATCTCTCTTACTAAGACTCTATATTTCTCTATTTCTCATGTAGACACACAACACACAATACATGCACAAACACAAACACATAACTGTAACCAATCAAACACTCGCAAATCAAATTCACACACCATTATATTGTCACTAATACAGATTTATGATTAAAATCATTAAGCAAATGAACCGTCTGTTGAAATGATACTAAAAAAATCTTATTTGATTGTAAGTCTCTACATTCCTCCATATATTTTTCTAAATAAATTGATAATTTGTTACAAACTCTCTAAATTCTTACTTATATCAATCTAAATCATTTCAGGGTAATGTAATTAATTTTATTGAATCCAACTAACGAAAAAAGTAAGGGGTCTTATGTTTCGGATTTACAATTGTTTTATTTTGACTCACTTATTTCGATAATTTTTATATTTCAAATATTTTCAGGTATACATTGAAGGATACTTGGTATAAGTTGTAAAGAATATGAAGTTGTTTCTTTATTTTGTGTATGTGTGTATTTTTTGTGTTCCGTCTTTTGTAAAGTTAACTAATTATACATAATTATAATGATTTTGGGTATGGAATGATGGTTGTTTTGGTGGTTTGGGTATGTAGTGATGATTGTAAGTTTTGTAGACAGGTTTATATTTTTCTGTATATCTATTTTTAAAAGAAATTCTGCATAAATTTCTTGAAATTAGTAGGGATTAACTTGATGTTTTGGTGGTTGGATATGTGTTGATGATTGAATATGTATTAATTATTGTGGTGGTATGGTAAATTATGATAACGTTATGGTAAATTAAAGTTTTAATCTAATTTTTCGTTACGCCGTGCCTTCAGGCACGAACAATTACTAGTATATATATATACTTCAACACGCATATTTTAATGGATGCAGAATATTATAATTCAGTGTAAAGGCTTTAGTCACGGAATATCTTAGTTTTTCGATATCACACCAGGCGGGTTTATATCGGGAACACCCAAAAAAATCCAGAGAGCTTTCCTTTTCCATGGGTATCTGACCATTAAAAAATAGAATATCCCACTGATTCCCTCACTGACCATTCACGCCCAAACACATGGAGTGGAATGGAACTACCTCCTAAGTCCTATCGCAGCAGCATAAGTTTCAGTGGTCCAGTCAGACCTCCCAAACTTCTGCAATGGCGGTTCTGACGAATGGGTCTTCGTTACGCCCGCCCCTACAAACGTGCCAATCCTCCAGACCACGACACTTGAACCATTCGAACATTATCATTGTTCGTCGCCGAGCATTCTCACAAGATTCGAAAGGCACAAATTTGCCCCAATTCTTCAAATCCTCATCTTTACTGTAATCTCATCCTCTCTCTATCTATCTCTTATCTTTTTATTGCTTCTATATGTTTGTATGTCTATACATGTGTATATATATTAATGTGCCATGTTGTTTCCTTAATTCAATTAGTTTTCTCAGAGAAAAGATTGCATAGATGGAGTAGAATTGTAATTTTAAGAAAGTCATAGTCAATGCCAAACGTTGTGTGTAATTAAGTCCTGAAGGATAGGGCACAGGCAAGGTGCTACAACCTTGTTGCTAGGCTGACAAGCGAATGAGGTTAGCGTTGGCCACTGCCACTCTGTTGGACTTTAAAGTCGTAAATTTGAACATCATTGTCCCCTCTTTGTAATAGTCTCTGATCTAAAACAACAATTTTCCCTTCTCACCACAATACCTATTAAAATCCTTACCACAAAACCTTATTAAAATCCTTTGTTCATAACATAACATAGTCCTTTCCCATGTACTTTTCATGGGAAATGCTTCACAACAAACAAAGATACCGCCTTCCTATTGTTTTATGAACTCATAAATGCACTGGAATTTAGTTTGAATCTAAAAGCAACACCTTCTGGACCAGTACTACGTAATGCTATGTACAGGCATCTAACTTCTACAGAAATACAAAAACATCACATCATAAACTTTGGTTACGTTGGTAGTTGGTATCCCTCTTCAAACCTTCATATTGGACCAACTGGGGCATGATCTGACACAGTTATGGTTAAAATTGGTATGATCTGCATGTGAAAACTGTTTACCACATTGATATGGTTCAGCTGTCTTGCGTAGTGGGACTCTGCTTGTAACATTTTATGTGCATTGTAATTCGTTTGTTGTCTAATGTGTGGATGTATCTCTTGGGTTTTCCGAAAATAGGATTTACTATCAGCAATAAAAAAACCTCATCTAATTAAATAAGAGCAGTTTTATCAGTGTAATGTTGAGAAAATCTCGGGAATCTTAAATGCTTCTTAATCATCCAGTTGTGATTGCTTCTGTCTTCGTCGCAGTACATGCTTTAAGTAGAATTAATTCAAAGTTATATGTGTCTGTATGAGACCTTGGGCCTATCCATTTTTGAGCAGTAAGCCATTGACTATAGTTTATTGCACATGTGGCATGTATGTTTGTGTGACAGATTCCCTTCGGTATTTGTAGAGTTAAAAGCTTTCAGGGTGAAGATGCAGAAAATTATGAAGCTGCAATATCGAGGAATACTCCAGAGGGACAAAATAAAGTTACTGACAAGGTATTTGAAAATCTGGAAAATAAAACTGCCGGTACAGAAAGTTCATTCTTGGCAAAATTAGCAATAGTGTTGGGCATAGCTGCAACAATTACATTAGTATCTATTGGCCTCAAGCAGCCTAATCAAGGTAGGTTGCTTGGATTTCCATATCTTGCTGATGCTTCATCCTCTTCCACTCTTGCTGCTCCTGCTGTTGGTTTCACTTTTAAAGCTTTTGGATACAGAGTTGTACTTCCAGAGTTTGCCCCAGGGTATGCACCTAGTTCTCTTCTGCGCATTATAGAACCTCAGTTATTTGCTCTTGAGCCTGCCTGATATGACATATTGCTTCCATCCTTTTGGACTTATAGTTTGTTCAACTCTATAAACTATAGTTTCTATTCTTTCCCCTCTTCCAGTCAAGTTTTACTGATCATGTTAGCATTATTACACTAGAATGTAATGTGATATAGTTTACTTGATGCTTGAATAATTGAGTGTCCGCCCCAAATGTTTTATTTCTCTCATGTTCACCCTATGATTTTAATGCAAGCAAAACTGCCTTGCCTTTTTGCATCTTATGTTTCTTCTCGCCAACATGGAATTTTTTTTGAATATTCTCCTGAATTCATTATTGCAGATGGATCTACTTTTGGCTCTTGATGGCCGCAGGTTGTGGACTTTTCATTAGTGAAGAAGCTCTAAATATATGGGTCTGTCCTTTGTACTGGTATTTCTGTTTCACAGACTTTAGAACTCTTACCTCTCTAGAATTGGGTTTTCTGTTTTTTCTCCAGCACGTTATCTTTTGAATATAATGTCATTTGCTGGTTAATGGTGTAGGTTGGCATCTCCATAGCAAGGATGCTCTCTTTGGAAGGGACATGGCAGTCCTTTGTTGAGTCATTCTCCAGAAATGCTTCATACATTATATCCACAATTTTGTGGGTATACTGGTTAGCGGCAACTTTATTTTATTTTCATAGTTGTGTAGGAACCAATGCTCCATTACCAATTTTTGTCTAAAATTTACTTTGATAATGGAGCCTTCAAGGGCTTGGGCAATGTGTGTGGGGCTTTGAAGCTATTTTTGGTGCTGCTGCTTACTTTTTTGTGACGTTGGCCATATGCAGTATTATAATTTTCTACATTTTGTATTTGTAAGACTTGATTGGTGGTACAAAACTTCAGGGGTGTTTGTCTTAGTGACATGATTCCATTTTACATGGGGAAGCTCTTTAGACAATCTGGGGCATCTGATGATGTTTGTTCAAAGGTATGTTCTGCCACACATTTTTAACACGTGTACACATATAGTTCAACCTACTTGCACTTTGGTGGACTTATTCGTGATGAGAACTGTAGTTGGGGATCAGCAAGGAGAGAGCAATGAATATCACATCTGTAGTTCAACGATATGGGAATCTCGTAGGTTTTGGTAAGTTAAAAAAGCTGTTTACTCCTTTTTGCTTTCTATTTTTGTTCATGTTTCTCTTCTTTGGACTATTTTGTTTGTGTGCATGGTTGTAATGTGTTAGTCAACAAACTTATTCATATATACTACGTAAATTCATACCAAAGAGATATTGTCATAATTTTGCATTCCATGGAAGTTTGATGAATTGTTGCATCAGTATTCATTTGGATGCTGGTACTTACTAGGAAACAAATTACTTGGACGTTATAGAGTCTCCAAGTAAATATTGCCTCCTACGTGTATCTGAGGACATATTACACTAATGAAATCTACCTCTCCTTTCGAGATGATAGTATAGCACCCCTTACGTTGTTTTTTGGTTTTCTCAACATTAGTTTGATGAGAAGATGGTAAATCTTATGCGAACTTGTGTTTTTAAAATGAATTAAATAATAAACTTGGTAGATGGCAATATTGGCCTGAGCTCCTTGCATTGACAATGACAAATACCTCTTTATCTAACTTTCTTTCTTGCTGGAAATTGATAAGATACTATTTACCTGGCTGAAGATCAAAGAGATCTATATAGAACATAAAATTTTGAGGTAATTCTATAAGAATAATGTCTTTTTTGAAAAGGTTTAAGCAATAGGCAATTTGTAATCTGCAACAACATGCTTCCCTTCGTTCTGGAATGATTCGCTGTCCTCTTACATAAGGAATTGCAAATTATTCATATTTCTAACTTGATCACTCAATCTTAAATGCCTACATAGGAAAACCTGCTCCGATGCATCTTGATGCTGTCTGTGCAGCTGACTGGTCAGACTACATAGTAAAGGAACATGAGAATAATCAAGAGGTGGATTCAATTAACAATTGTAAGCAGAGATTAAAGAAACCTGTTCCAACCAAGTGGTTGCTTTATGAGGGGATTGGATGACCAAAGAACAAACAAGTTCCAATAAAGATAAAGTCCTAGACTCTCCATTTGTCCTCACATTCAACATTTATTGTTTGTATGAGAGACTCAGAGAACCTAGATGAGTTAATTCCCAAGCAATATATTGCTTAATTTCCAAGACCTTAAATAAAACAAAACTTTCTAGAAAACTTAACAGTTGATTTCCTTCTAAATGAAAAATAACAAACCTAAATTAAGTAATTATAGTAGTGTGGACGGTAATTGCTACTTCACCCAAAAAATGCTACAGTCCTGAATAATAAACACTGCAGCATTGTCAACAGTTCTGATAGAGTGCTTTATCAGTTATAAGTGCCTAGTTTGCCCATCTTATGCAACGCAGCTAGTGCATCAACATGTGCATACAATGCTTGCTTTTCCTTGGATTTCACATCTTGTTTGATGATTTGTGCATTCTGATGTACAGTAGAACGATTTTCCCTTGGAGTGAGAAATCCGACAGCATTCCTAGCAGGAGCACTGGTTAGTAACTATGTCTTTGAGACTATGTTACTTTTCCATCATTTTACTATCACTTGAATCATTCTATAAGTCCCTGTTGCTGCAAGCCTGCAATATAAATTCCTTTTTTATTGTCTTATCACCTTCCGTCTTCACCTTCAGTCTTGTTTAACTCTATTATGATTGGTGGTTGAGTAAGTTGCTTTGTGCTCAATGCACTATTCACTTATTTCCATCTGAGCCAGGTGGTTGTCAGTTCCTAATATACACATACATGCAATTTAATGTTGTATGCTGATAAAGCACTTGTTTGAAGTATTTTGATGGGATCTGATACTTGCATTAACCTTTGCGGAATTGTAAAAACGTACACCATCTGTTTAGTGGGAGTTGTTAAACCTTTCTTTTTTGTAACTAGTCTATTTTCTCTAAACCTTAAGGCAATCTCATTTTGATGACATTTTTAATCTTCTGTTTGCACCACCTACTGCACTGTCTTTTGTACAGTTACTTCAGTTTCAAGCATTCTATAGTGATCTATCATACATATGCATTTGATTATTGAACTTCTTTCCCCATCTGATTCTTTGACATGTCAGATAATTTTTTTTTTTTGCTATTGTCATGTCAGATAAAATTCAACTATTGTCTAGACTGTTTATTGCATCCACACTTGCTGAATTTTTTTTTTATCTTAATGCAGGACGTATCTCCAGAATGTTTCTTTGCCGGTGTCTGTTGTGGTGGCTTGATCACTCTTCCAGTTCAGGTCATTGGGTTTAATTGTAATATTTTGCTGAAAATATCACCCATAAACACGCAAGCATACAAAAAAAAACTTCTTATCATTACTGTTTAGACGATTGGGTTGTTTCCAGATGAGATATTGAGTTTCAAGCATATCTGTTAATTTAAGTAAGAAGATGCATACTCAAGTGCAGATTGTGGATCTTCTGATGAGTACTCAAATTTTAGTTTGGAGTATATTCTACAAAATGCCTATGGAAGGAAGGCACTAGTACAGTTCTTAATTTTTCAAATATTGGTTCCAACTTGGTGCCTTGTTCTTCTTAGTTTCTGAAGGCTGTAGAAACACTCCTTAAGCGGCTAGTAACTGGCTAGCTAATGCCTTCTTGTTCTCTTCTCTTTTGAAGCTCAGTTGGGGATTGGATTCTTACTGAGAGAGCGTCCTGTGTTCGCCCTTGCAACTGTTGCAACCGTTGTGGTATATAATTGTGCTCATGTTCTGGAAATTGTTTGCCATATGCATTACGCAATCTAATCTTTGGAATTGTACAGGGAATTTGGACTGTGTTCCCCTATGCTGTGGCTGCTTCAACAGCATTATTCCTTTATCTAAGGCGACGCCTCTACTCCAGCTAGTCCTGCTTGTAAGTTTTTGCGGAATTTATTAGTCCCTGGGGATGAAGCAGACAAGAGCTATGGATTTGGTAGATAGGGGCTATGGATTTGTTCGTCTGGAGGAACTTTTTATTAATATAGTTCAGATGATTTTGCAATTACTTGTTGATTAATTATTCTTGCTTTTTCTTTGGTTTTACTGATAGGTAGTGGTGATAGGAACCAACTTAGAATGATTTACAAATTGATGTATAGCTAAGTAGTGTTGCCATTTTATCAAGGAAAATTTCCCCTTGTTCATTGTAGGTTAGATGTCCGTCTCTCTTTGTATTATGATTTTTGAAATACGAAGAGTTGTAAGTTTGTACCAATACATCATTTCACATCTGAAAATGTGACAATTATCAAGTATTCTTCAGTTTGCTTTTCCCCAACTGCTGTTTCACTCTCTTTGTTTAACATGAATCTGGGATTATCCAGATGCTTGGAGAGAACCTAGCCCCATATGCAACATTAGGTGCAGCAGGTAAAATATCATACTCTGGATTATCTTGCTCAATGAAGCTGTAGTGGGTCGGGTCCATTAATCTGATTGGAGGAAAACTCCAAGCTTTTAAGGAATGTGAATGCAAATATAAAATCCTCATGGCTATTTAATTCCTAGAAAGACAGGCTCCTGATGTATATGTGCAGACATTGGATGAGTTGAACAGAGTTACAAGCAATCTTCTTTTATCTCTTAGCACTGGTGGTTTATGACAAGGTGAACCATTTTTCTTGTAGAATCTACAACTCTTCTTACTTGGTTTGGAGGATAAGAATTACCAATCAAGAAGCAACAAGCCCTTTGTCTTTATTTCTTAATTTGATGTTCTGCTCCATTAAGAACAAATGTGTGCCTTTCCTGAAGTTCTCAACTTGCTTGGCACAGTTGCTACTTATATGTATTTGGATTAATTGCAAAGTATAGAGTTTGTCTTATTTTGGTATTTCAATATTTTAATTGCATTATTTTATTCTCTATAATATTGAATATGTTTTTATATGGTCCCTTAAGCAGATAACATCTAAATTACTAACGATTTTTTTATCATAAACTTATCACATGATACCTAAATATGGGCAAAAAATAACTTGGGTAGTACTTTACCAAAATTTGGGTAATCTTGGCCAAAAATGTGTACTATTGGTAGTTTTTTACCAAAATTTAGATTACTCATTATCAAAACTGTGTAATTTGAGTAGCTATTCAATTAAACTTTTGGTAGAAATTTGATCAAAAGTTATCCAATTTTTTTTTTCTCATATTTAGGTATTAGGTGACAAGTTTATAATAAAAAATCGTTAATAATTTAGACACTGTTTACCTAAGGGATCACATAAAAATATATTTAATACTTCAAGGACTATAATGATTCAATTAAAATATTAAAGACCAAAATGAGATAGATCTCACATTTTAGGGATCTTCGGTGCAATTAACCCAAATAATTTTTATGGTTTTGTCATAAACAAGAGGGATGTTCTCAACTCAATTCAACAAAGTTTTATCCCACTTTAACTTAACTTTGCCGATGTATTTCTATGCATAGCCGGTCTTAAGCTCCAATAAAGAAACAGAGTTGTGTTAAGTAACTGACAACCAGCGTAATATAAATTAATTAAATATCAACTCAAAAACATTTTACAAGGTAAATTATACCTCACACCTCTATTAAGAGCAGCTTACTTTTTACATATACATAAGGAAAACAACCATATAGAAAATATAAATTGACATATAACTTTCACATTACCGATTGGATATATCAATTTAGAAGTCCACCACAAGCAAGATATGAGAGCTGAATGCTGTAGGATTCTTTCAGCTCTGCCAATACTGCAGCAATGTTAGGCCTTCGCGATGCATCCCTCTCTACAGACCTTGAAGCAATCAAAGCTGCCCTTCTCATGCTCTCGACATCAAAGCTTCCCTTCAAGCTCTCATCCACTATCTCAAATGCTCCTGCCTGCAAGTATGGCTTGGCCTGCATTTGGCAAAGTAAATGACACTACCATATTATTTTGCTTATCAATGTTGCACTATCTAGATGTCTAAAGATATGTTCAAATCAGAATTCTATGCATCTCTTCGGTAATACAATATAAATTACTCGAGAAAAAACTGAACACATGACTGTTAAACTATCTTCATAGAAAATCGTCATAGTCTATATTGTAGAAAAACAAGTCAGACAAGGCTCATTGACTACATCTAGCTGTATAAAAATATACATAAGATGTTTTGCAAGATAGATCAACAAAAGCCTTTTATTTCATAGAATAAGCAAATGTACAGAATTAAAAAAGTGGAAAAGACACCCAGAAGAGGGAAAAATTATAGTAAGTAAAAGAAACTATCACAAACAGATTTCCAATTATGTTGAAGAACCAATAAAAGTAGTATCACGACATTCATTAGAAAGTTGATACCCAAAAGATGCCAAGAACTTCACTCTATCCAGTAACAATTCATTTTCCTCCTCTTTGCCTCCAAAGATTCTATGTTCCTCCCCATCAATACCACCCAAAAAATGATCAAAATAGAACACTCCCGGTGTTTGCTCTCTCTTTAAGATTTTCTACTGAAAAATGACTGGCAACTACAAGTCAAGAAGGTCTATCTAATTGCATTTTTAGGGAAACTTTACAATTGCCCATTTTTTATCAAGAAATCCATAGAATTTATAAATATAGCTAAAGGCACATAAAAACTCTGATTCTAGTGAGTAAAAGTATATGTCAAACTGTAAAGAAGCAGAACAAAGTATGCTATCAATAACATTGAAACCAATGATTATTAGCAGACTTGAAAAGGAATTTGGATTACCCATAGAACCAAATTAAAGGAGTCTGGAGTTCCAGAGCGACTTAATGGTTCTCGACCACAAATGAGCTCCAAAAGAACAACCCCAAAACTGTATACATCACTTTTTTCTGTCAATTGTTGGGTGGAATAATATCTGCACATATTGAATAGTGAAGGTGAGGCTGAGGTTCAGAGTCATCAAGAATCAAGTAAAACACAATGTTAAAAACTTACTCAGGATCAAGATAGCCAGCAGTGCCCTTGACAACAGTAGTCACATGAGTTGCATCAGCTTGGGTTATTTGTTTAGAGAGGCCAAAGTCACAGACCTTAGCATTCATCTCTGTGTCCAAAAGTATGTTGCTGGACTTCACATCCCGGTGGATGACTCGTGGCTCACTCCCATAGTGTAAGTAGTCCAACCCTGTCAAAGATATTGAAAATGAGACAGTAACTCCAAAAAAAAATTAAAAATCAGATATTTCACAGACAAAGAACGATTGAGTGAAATCCCCCCCCAAACCCCCCAAGTTAAATATAAGACTATCAATTGCATGTTGATAAACTTAAAGAAAGTAGAAGGTTTTCCTTTTTTTTTCTTTTTATTCTGTTTCTACTCTTCCCTTGCTCTGCCTGGAGGTTGAAAATAGAATATTCTCTACATACCTTTTGCAGCATCAACAGCAATTTTCAGTCTGCGGACCCAACTTAATGTTATTCTTTTACTATTTGAACCTGAAATGACAGTTTGTAAATACCTATTAGAATCATAAACAATGTCATGGAGGATATACAGGCAGAATAAGAAAGTGAATTTGATATTAGTAACTGGATACAACAGAATACAACAGAACCACAGAAAATAGAAGTCAAGTTTTGTTCACTTACCATAAAGGTTATCAGCCAACGATCCACCAGGCAAGTATTCATAAACTAGTATCTGCTGCTTTGCTTCGTGACAAAAGCCTTCTAGAGATACAAGATTCTGATGACGAACTTGGGACAAAAGAGACACCTAGGTAACAATCCATGACATGGTAAGTAAGGCAGCCCAGGACAATTGTTAATAAAAACCAAACAATCGTGGGAATTTTAAAAAACCTCCCCCGCCATGTGATTTGAACTCAAATTTGGCCTCGTGTTTACAAGCCAGATTACCAAATGCCCAGTGACAAATACATTTATATGATTGCAAACGGCTGCAAAACCAAGTATAACCAATACCAATTATATTGAGATGACTCACGATAGTCTAACAATTTCCTATAACCGATAACTGTAAAGGGAAATCTCTGAGCCTGTTAAAGATAACATCATACTAAGTAATGAATCTGTAAAAGATCTGCAAATTCATCCATAATATTCTGGCAAGAATACTCAGCTTGCACTTACTAATGAGTAAAAGATCAATAAAATAAGATGCTTAAGGAAGGAAGCTGATGAACCTCATTGAAAAAAGAATCAACCCCAAGTTGAGTTTTATCGAACCGCACTTTCACAGCAACTAGTTTTCCATCTGGAAGTTTTCCAAGGTAAACAGATCCAAAACTACCACGGCCTATAACCTCCTTAAAGTTGTTTGTAGCCACTTTGATTTCTTTGTAGGAGAAGACTTTTGCTGCATTCCAGTTCCGCATCTCTGACACTGATCCTAAACATTGATACATGATCCTGTTAAGAATAAAGCAATGAAATTTGATTGTGAACAGCATATCAAGTTTTTCATACTTGCTGTGTATGTCGCTTCAGTTTTCTTTCGCCTCGTGTACAAGAATACTGAAAAAGAAATAACAAAAAGAGCAAGTGCGACTCCTCCAACTGCACCAAGTATAACTGCCAAGTGATTTTGGCCCTTCTTATGCTTGCTTTTGGTAAATACAGTGACTTGTGGTGTCTCGATTGAAGGATTTATTGAAAACTCATTGCATGTCAATGTGGAGAAGGAAAGGCATAAATTCCCCGATGTTCTGCACCGAATTAGTGCATCAAGAGGCTGTTATCTGAAGCAGAAACAACAACAATAAATCTGAAGCATAGACAGCAAGAATATCAATCCCATACCTAACTTCCAAACTTTCTCTGTTTAAAGACTGCGGGAGGGGGCCTTGTAATTTATTGTGTTCCAGATTCCTGAAGAGGACGTCATAAAAAATCATGAATTGTTGATCCAGTTTCACGCTCTCCACTTGGTGAAGTCGCTTAAGTTTTCCAGACAAGTTTCCAACAGTAGGAAAGAACTGTACTGCATCATAGGATAATTGGATTGTGTTCACTTACAGTAAGTGAAGGTCCTTCAACTCTCCCAAGCTATCAGGAACCATTCCCTGTAATCTATTATTGTGCATGTCCCTTCATTTAGACAACACATTAGTATCACCTTTAACTAAAATCTCTCGGTGGTGTAATGAAATAATGGAACAATCGACAGTTAATTTCTGTCAGATATGGGTGCAGAGTGAAAACTTACAAAATTTGAAGATTAATCAAGTCTTCCAATTCAGAACCAAAGGATGTCAGCTGATTGAAACTCAGGTTCCTGCGATGTTCAGTTCATGAATGTTCGAGTAACGCATTCTAAAGAAACAAATTTGGAGAATAAGTACTCCACAAAGAATTACAGTTTTTCAAGGCGCTGCAGGCCACCCAAGTTCTGAATCTCTCCAGCAAGTGATGTATTATGCAAATCTCTGCAAGCATGACACCCAAAAAATAAATGCAGGAAAGAGAGTATGAATTGACTATGATCAAAGCAGCGTAAACTAACTTATTAACATAATCAATACAGTAAATTCTGTAAAAACAAACTTACAGTGTTTTAAGATCTAACAAATCACCAAATGTAGGGCTGATTGACCTCAAATTGATGTTAGAAAGTTCCCTAAGATGAGGTTGAAACAAGAGCAATAACGCTTAGAGAGAAGACAATAAAAAACTAGAAAACAACCTAATAATATTTGCATACAGTGAAGTAACCAAACTTCCTTCGCAGTTGATGTTATTCCATGGTATAGGAGAACATGGATCATCTTGCCATCCCAGATCTAAACCAGTGGACTGCTGAATAACCTGAAGTGCTGAAACTGTCAAAATATATCGAGACAAGTAAGATCGGATGACTCTTGCAGTGGAAACAAACCAAGCAAGTATGCAAAATCATGAATAATTGAACCTGTAGTTGAAGAAGACTCTGGGGGAACATCAACAATCTCATACACCTCAATTGCGTTGACCATTGGGTTGAAGCTGATAGTCTTCAATGTGATGTTCAAGTTTTTGATTTCCTTCTGAGTAAAGAATAGAGCACTGACGTCCCCGCTCTTCACCGTATAGTTTGGCTGAACAACATCTCCGTTAATCAACACATCAAACGTCGGGGAAAGAGGAAGGATCCCAGCAAAATAGAGAACAATGTAGTAGTCTCCAGTGTTATCAAGAGGAAAGTTGTACACCAATTCCTCCCGTCTTGACAAGACTCTAGCAGTTTGAAGAACAGCCATGGGAGGATTATCTTGAAGAGTTGACAAATTGAAGGTGCTTTTAACAGCAAAGCCAGTAGACAAATGAAAGGGAGAAAAATTCTCATCAGCATCCCATATACGATCATAAGGATCCAAAGGGTACCTGTCATTACAAAAACCAATTTCCAAAACTTCAGCAGATATGCAAAGAGGAAAAAAAAAAAAACCAATGTCCTGCGGGGTCTTCTCCAGATGCACGCAACCTCACCCCACATACAGAGTGACTGTTTCTGCGACTCAAATCCGAACGCAACCACATGGTAGCAACCTTACCAATACACTAAGGCCTTATAGATAACGCAAACCAAAATCAAATGAAATAATGGAGAAAAAATTCTCACCGCAGTGAACCATTTGTGTCTCCACAGTTGATTCGATAACTCTTCCTAAGTAACTTATTGGGGAAATCCTCCATGCCCTCGTTATAAGCTCCTTGCGGAAGTGGCCGAACTTCAAGATATGAAATAGCAGGAAATCCACCATTGGGGATCGAATGAAAACACAGAGGGAGACTATCTTTATTAACAGGCAATATAAACTCTTCGATCCACGGATCATTTTTGGTGAGGTTCACAGTGGTAGTAACAGCAGTACCAAGAGAAACAGAGAAGGCAGGGGGTTTTCCAAGTTCATCATAGTTCTTGTACACAAATTGGGTCCTAACAAGAAGCGAAGATGATACAATTTTTGTGGGCAGCCTGTAACAATTTCGAGCTTGGGAATCGGGGAAGAACCGGACTGGAAGTTGAGACGAGGAAGTACCCTCTATGTAATCAACAGTAGTTGTGTTGCCAATTGTCACATAAGTACTATCTGGTACCCATGAAATGTTGGAAGAATCAATGAAACTCGAAGTTCCTCCGCAAGACAAACTCAAGAATCCTGTTCCATTTATACCTCATAAGCAACATCCGAGCCTTAAAGAATGTGTCTGTGTGTGTGTGTGTGAGAATTGAGAGAGAGAGAGAGCTAAAGCAAGGACAGGAAGCTTTGTAAGTCCTACTATTAACATTATCCATTAACACAAAGCAACACATGCCCAAGTCTAAACTGGGGTAATTTAGACTACATTTGGAAACTTGATGGACGAAAGAGCTGCAAAATGCAATTGAATGTGAAGGGAAAGTAAAAGGCAAACAATGCATACCGTCTTGATCACAGAAAGCAACTTTGCCTAAGCAATAGAATAGTAAGAACCCAAACCAGAAACCCCAATGCAGTTCCATGAAGTGGGCAACTCAACAATGCCAAAGAAACTGGTCACGAAGTTCTGAAATGAACTGTTTCGTGAGAAGAACAATGTCTTGAAAGAACAGGTGAATATTGCACAACATCAACAACAAGAATAAGAGAAAGTTGGGATTGAGACAAAGGGGTTATGCTTCTTGGGTGACCACTTGATGTGAGCAAATAAGTGGAGGAGAGTTATGATGGCGGTTCTGTGAGCTTTGGAGAGAGAGAGAGTTTGTTATCATGAAGGCGGGGAAGGTAATCATGAAACAAGGTGATGATTGTCTCCGTTAGGTGATAGTAACAGTAGTAATAGGACAAAAGTAGAAGCAGAATGAGGACCAGAGTGGCCACCATGCAGATGATGTGCAAGAATTACACCAACCTCCATCTCTCTCTCTCTCTCTCTCAAATCCTTCTTGTTTTTTGTTTTTGACTCGAACAGGCTAAGTCATTGCTACGGTTAGAGAAAGACCAAATCACTGTCCTCTTCATTCTGTTGAGTAATTGAAATCACCCGTTTACTACATTTATAACTTATACTCAGAAATCACTAATGGCAACATGTATGTGTGTGTGTATATATATATATATATATATTATTTTGGGACATTGGAAAGTACCCATGTTTGTATTCAATTTGCTTTCATTTTCACTCTTCTTCCAGCAAATGGGAAAAGATAGAAAAGTGCATAGCAGCTGGTCAGCTGAAGAGTAAGACTATTTTTTTCCACAGATGTTGGGCCCACCAGGAAGAACCAAAGATTGGCCAATTCTTGCTCAAGACTCTGGTGGGATGATGCATAGGATGCTTATAAGTCCAGCAAGGGAGAAATGATTGACTTTGTAATTGTAATCCCCCTTTTTAGCTTTGCTTTTAAATCCATACTCCATTAGTAGGACTATCTTCCTAATCAAGCTAAATCAATTTCAACTGCCCAAAATCAACTCTTTCCACAGCCTACAGAAACGCAAAGATGATGATACTCTAGTTATCATTATGCATCATTATCAATGTGAATGAAGCATATTTTTGTTCTTTTTCGTAGGAGGTAGGAGTCTAATTTTGGTGAAATGGACTTTATATCTCAGCCCAGTTTAACTTGCACTATTTAGGACGTGGAAGAGATTTGCAATATTCGGGTTATGCTTATTTCAATTACTCTTTCAAGCTTTGAACCGACCACCATAAGAATCAAATTCAATTTGAAGCCAAATTTTAAGACCATAAATTGAATCTGTAAATTGAACGTCAGTCCAAGTCTCTAGTTGACATTAGGTTGGGTATTTTGCAATTTGGGCTGAATTCAAATTAAACTTTCACCCCTCCAATATTCTGATTCAATATTTTCTTTTTCTTCAATTGTACATGTGAGAGTTTCAGTTTAACTTACCGGTAAGAAGCATGTAATCCAAAAATGCACAACAATTTCTCTCGATTCAAAGTAGAAAAACCACTCCTCGCAACAGCCTGAGGCGCTGATGCAAGCAAGCATCATCAGTCCTATCACTGTCAATTGGGTGCTGGATAACTCCAGTGAAAAGAGGACCCAAATTGGAGGTAGGCTTTTAGTTCGACTCCCTCTAGCCTGTCTTCAGATACCCTTTTTGGGCAATACCATGTCAATGCGAACAAACTTATTGCGCATAACATTTTTTCATCATTGTTTATTTGGACAACTTGAAAATTACAGGAAGTTCCTTCAGAAGCCTTTCAAGATAAATGGATGAAGCGCATGATCATAATATTACAGATAACACGTTGATTGTTGTAACCAAACTCAAGAAAGTTCTCAACGTGTACAAACAATACAAAGTCCAACCCTAGAAAGTTTTTTCATAATCTTGATGCTTTGGCTCCTAACATCAATCAAAGACGCAGTATACATAATGTACCTTGTAAGAATCAAGCTACAGCCAGTAGCAGAAAAAATATCCATTAAAATTAGGAGTTGCAAGAACATAAAAGGAAAAAGGAAAAAGGAAAAAGGAAACTCTCCTCATGCTACAAACCTCCAAAAAAATCTCAGCAATTATGTCCAGAAAATTCAAAACTTCACAGGAGCAAGGATATCTAGCTGGGAGCCAAGTTTCTCCTCTGCGGCTTCTCAGCCTTGACTCTTAGTCTAGTCAGCTGCTTCTTCCTATCATATGCCACCTGGGCCCTCTCTTTCCTCTTATTTTCTAGCTCCTGTAAGCAACAAAATAAGTTGCAAGGACAAGATGCCTCATTTGCTTGTCACATGACAATTCACATAACAAAAAACGTTCTGGTCCAATGTAATTATATCTCCATCAAGGAACCACAACTTGATAAGCATGCAGATATTCTATGCAGGAGACATCGTAGTGTGATGTTTAGTTACCATTATATCATCAACTGAGATAACTATTTATTAAACAGGTATTGTAGTTTAAGTAAAAAAGATCATAAGCTCAAAGCAAACTTTGTTCCAGAGAAAATAGCACTAATGAAACACGCTTTCGGAGAACAATATTCAGAACACAGTTGGAATGGACAAAGCTTGATACATAAAACTGAGAAAGCATAAAAGCTTGTGGTCATTTGGCAATTGGCATCTTGATATGAAGTCAATAATAGCCTAAAGAAACACTGTAATTTCGAGAGGGATTGGTTACATCTTAGCAATGTCATTTATGAGATAACATGAATACCAGTAGGCAAAACAATGCAAAAGCTAGAATAATGGGGTGAAAACAAAACCCAGAAATATTCAACTATGGCACTCGTAACAACTTTGGGATGATCAAAAACAAAACAATCATTAGTGAAAATCAAGAATCGGTGTTCACAACAGTTTCATGTAATCACATTATGCCAGGAACAGAGAAAAGAAGTCCAATAATCAATGTCATTTATCTGTAAGTGCAGCCATACCCAAATGAAATAAGGTTTTAAGACAAATGCCAGGCTTCTGATGATGCTTTAAGCAATAAACAAATACGAAAACCGATTACTGCTCTTCAGCAATAGATACAAAACACGGGCTATATTTATATCTGTCTGAATGAATATAAAGCAATAATCCCCCAGAAAAAGGCAAAATAATTGCCCCATAATATAGAAAATACAGAGTTTCAGTTACCATACAGAGTTTGCCACGGGAACATACAAGAGAGAACCCATCTGTTACCTTAATGGTGTCATAGTGGTTCCACCCAACCTCGCTCGACAGCCGCCCCAACAAACAGTACTTGTGCCCAGCCTGAAGCCTCAAAACCCTAATTTCATTACACAAAACACGAAACTTCAAAATCAACACAACAAAAGATCATAATACCCAAAAAAAAAAAATGGATTCCAAACTTTCAGACCGCAACTTTTTTTCTTCTTTTGCAACAACTTATCAAAACAAAACCAAACAAAACCCAAAGAAAAATCCAAGAACTCACTTGGGAGCATCGGGAATGACCATCCTCTTCATCTTATCGTATGGAGGTGGAACACCGTCGTACGCCTTCAACCTCGCCAGCGCCGCTGCCCCCTCTCTTCGTCTTATGGGGAATCATCCTACAAAATCCACCAAATCACACAAAAATACATCACATGCACATAGATGAGAGAGAGAGAGAGAGAGAGAGAGAGAGAGAGAGAAACGGACCCTCGAATGGTGCGCCAGAGGATTTTAGCAGGAGCGCGAAAGTGAATAGGACCATGAGAGGGCTTCGTATTCATACGCTTGCGGAGGAAGCGGAGGTACTTCATTTTCTGGCGAACGAGGCCACCGGAGAGGGCAATCTCTTCGCAGCGTACCACCACCACTTTCTGGCCGTTAAGGAGTTCCTTCGCCAAGATAGAAGCCAGACGGCCCGCGCGCAGATTCCCGAGCCGGACACCATTCTCTGTAACTCTGTTTGAGGTACTAGGGTTTCTTCATGGTTTAGTGATTGTTGACAGTTTAAAATAACCAAAACACCCCCAAGGTAGCTTCTTGTTTTTATTTTCAGGAGATTAGGTCGAGCCCAGTTGAGAAAACTGGCAAGTGACATTTAATGGGCTTCAGTAAGGTCGAGCCCAGTTGAGAAACCGACAAGTGAGTATAGATAAGAGAATTAAACGAGAGCCAGAGGGATTGTTGCCAAATCTCAGTCTTGATTCACCGTAATAATAAATGCTGCTGCATAATAACTTTGGAGTAGAACTATCAGTACGATGAGGTTAGTGGATGACCAACGCTCCTGCTGCTGTAGTTGGACTTTAAAGAACTACTGTACACTCTCAATTCACCGTAATAAATGTTGCATAATGGAGTAACTTTAGAGTTGATGAATGGTCAATGTCAGCGGATGGATGACCATCGTTCTTCAAGTTGAACTTTAAGGTAAAGCCTTGAATTTCATAATTCTCTTCTCCTGCTTCACCAAAAATCTGTCAAGATATTCAAATATTTCTTCTTAAAATGTATTGATTTGATCTTATAAGTGGGACCATCACCTAATAACATGTTGCCCTAAAAAATAGAAGAATACCGTATTTTTTTTTTCTAAAAAATTTCCTAGGATCTATTTAGTTAGCAAGAAAAAAATTATGAAAAATAAAAGAGATAGAAAGTGAAAGAAAATATATTTTCATGCATGTATTTGGTTTGAATAAAAAGACTAAAAATAACGCAATTGAAATATTAAGAACTAAAATAAAACAAACTTCATACTTTAAAGACCTCCAATACAATTAACTCCAAATAACAAACTCCAATACAATTAACTCTAAATAGCAAAATGAATGCTGATCCACACCCCCCCAATTAGCACCCATTTCGTCACCCACCTACTTTGTATTAAATTTCTTTATCTGTCAAGCAATTTCTTTATCCTAGCTATTGAGTTAAGTGAGATGTCGAGACTCACACACTTTTATATTTTTCACTACTATTTTATTTTTCTCGATAATATAAAAAAGCATCATGCAAAACTTCTGTTCCATTCAATTATATAAATTTAAGTGAAATAACGGACTGAATTATTGTCGTGTTGTCACCTTTTATGTCGTGCTACTTTTATAAAAGGGTGTAAATCGTCTTTTAAGAAGAACGATATGGCTGCACATTATCGTGTCGTTTACTTTAAAATAGTATCATTCGTAGTTATTGTTATTTAATGAAGAAATAATGGAGGGTGGTTTCCAGACGTTGGGTTTTTGGGATGGGACTGCCCAACCAACCAACCAACCAACCATCTTTCTTCATTGATTAATAAAGTGGTGGAGCAGAAAGTGAATGCATAGCATAGCAAATTACTACTATTGAAAACGAAATTCATTACCCCACCTCATGATTTAAATTAATTTTGAGACCTGGGTTGGGTACTCTCTGCTTTTGGCACAGGTCCTGGTTTGGTGAGATAACCTATTTTTAACCCAATTGCTGATAGAGTTAGTCAAATTGTGTCTAAGATAATTCGGACATTTTTGATTAATTTTTTTTTAAAAAATAAGGCCTGACTAAGTACCTTATTAATATCAACAAATTCATTTATAATTTTGAATAATGCTATACAATTCAAATAAAATTTAAAAAGTTGTTACTCAAATGTACATCATCTTTTGGATGAGTGGGTTTCATCAATTTTTTAAATGAGATCCACTAATCGAACAATCATCTAACAGATGATACGCATTTAACTTACAATTTTTTAAATTTTATTTTGATTGTATAATATTTTGTGTGGCCCATGACACGTGAATTCAACTTTAGGACAAGCAAAAGGCCAAAAATAAATTGGCAGTAGGGTCGGCAATTGTCTTATTAGTTCACAAAGGAGAGATTATTAATGCTCCATTTAGTAGGAAGAAGGATACACTTTTATTTATTTGTGTTTGGTTGGATGGATAAAAAATAAAAATGATAATTTTTTTTTTTTTTTTTTTGTGTTGGCTAAGATTAGAAGTGACAATCGAGTCGTGTTGTATCAAATTCGTGTTGAGTCATTACAGGTTTGAGTCGAATATTAGTCAAACCTAACTTAACTCATTTAATTAATTGTGTCGTGTCGAGTTGCGAGTTGACCTTTGTATTTTCGTATCGAGTTCAAATCGTGTCATCGTGTTGAGTATAAAATTTTCACCCTTAGTTAAAATGGAAAAAATATTTTTTTTAATTTTTAATTTTTTTAATATATATTTATATACATACATATTTTACCATTATATTTTTATATGAAATTAATGTATACATAATATATGTATATATAAAAAAATACATAGACAAATAAGATACATCTCAACACAAATAATTAATTTTTCACCTACTTTCCATCTGATTTTGGAGGAATTGATTTTTGTGAGTTGGAAGGAAAGTTAATTCATCAATTTTTTCATCTTTCCTACTTTTCTTCTTTACCAAACATGATGTTTTATTTATCCCTCTAATTTTTCATCATCCCAACTTTCCATCTTCCTACTTTTTCATCGTACTAAATAGAGCGGGACTTATGAACTCAAACAAACACACCTAGAATTTTTATGGATGATCAAGTGGTCAAATTTATTCGATACTTTTCATATTTTTTAAGGGTCGGTCACCCTTATTCCTCAAAAGACATATTTTTAAACTAGTTTGAATTATGATAATCGGTTTAAAATCACGAGAAAATAATCAACACAAGTTTGAACACCATAAAACAAAAAAAAAGATAAAAACACTGTAATTTCAAGAGGTTGTTATATCAAGGAAGACTATGATACGAACGAAGTACTGTACTAAAAGTCATAACATTTATAACTTTTATGAGAAGACGTAATTACTTACGACTCAAAATGACATAACCGATCAAAAATATTTATAACTTTTAAAAACTAAATTATAACTCAAAAAATAAAAGTTACAATTAACTAAAGTAATTCATGATTGTTCACAATATTTCTAAAATTACCCCCAAACACCGTAATTTCATTATATTTTCAATACAATACCATGTTTTTTTAAATGGATTACTATCCTATTATAATATATCGTTTTTACTTAACGTGTGGTAGCCATACATCGCTCTGTTGTCGAATATGATTATCCCGATCGGAAATCATTGAATATTTTAGTGGTTCTAAATATGATCTAATAATTTTTCACACGACACTCTGATTTCAACATTTCTTACATACTTACATTTTTGTTCAAAAAATAAAACAACATAGTTACATTAGCATCTTTGTGCATACTTGTAACAAGACGAAGATAATCTTTAGGAGTGGTATTGTAGTTGAGTTTGATTTTTGGTAATACAAAAATTTTATATTCAATCATTTCTCGCACGAGTTTAGAAGGTTATTATACAATTTTCACAAAATTCACTCTAAAAATCGCATTCAGATTCCAAATCCTCGTACCAACACATGCCCTTAAAGATGTACTTTAACTTAGCTCAAATCAGTAGACTATATTCCTTTGTTTTCCTTTCCTTTTTGACTGCCATAATTACTTTATTATATATCCCCATCTCATTTTCTTTCTTTCTTNAGCTCAAATCAGTAGACTATATTCCTTTGTTTTCCTTTCCTTTTCTTTCTTTTTTGACTGCCATAATTACTTTATTATATATCCCCATCTCATTTTCTTTCTTTCTTTTTTTTTTTTTTTGGCCTTTTTCTTTGGTACAAACCATGAACATCAATAAACTGAGATTCTTCGTAACTAACATTTGGTTGGACTTAATTTTGGACAACAATTGATGGGGACTTATTCCTCCTCTCCCCAAAACCCCAAACCCATCTACCTATAGTATATTTAAAATTCCTCTCAAAATTCATTCTCTTATCAACCATTTACTAAATTAACAAAAGCCATGATTGTTAGCTTTTATGAGTTGTTATAATGTTAAATTATTTTTTTAGATATTCCTTTTCACTTTATTCCTAAAAAAACACAAAGATTTTCTCATTCATATTTGCCAAAATCTTTTAGTGTTAATGTCACACACAGTTAATCTTAATGGATAGTTCAAATGGTAACAGAAATAACCTGTAAATTTAAACGTCTTGAATTCGAATTTTGGCAATTCATTGGAATCAGATCATGATGAATTTATCCCTCGTGAATACCTTAGTCTCGGTATAGATGACCTGCTTTTAATTAGACCGAGGAAGAGATTAATCGAAATATGAGTAAATTGGACTAAACACTTTTGACTGTTAAACAAAAATAAAAATAAAAATCACAAACAGTTAAGTTATTACGCAAGAGATTGAGACGTTCAGCGGGACTCTGATAATCTTGATATTGTGTTGATCATCGATTAATAAAATTTATACCCATTTTCCAGAAAAAATAGTGGCAAAGAGCACTTAGATCATATAGGAGGGACACAAGTGCAAAACTAGCATACAACAAAGTTATAAGGGATAATTACACTTAGACTCCCTACAATTTGTCACTTAATCACTCAAACTCTTTGACATTTAAAATATTACAAACAAACTCTCTGAAATTTGTACGCGCATAACACTTAGACCATTGTTATAAATATATTCGTTAATTAATTATATTTAGACCCCTTAAATTTAAAATATTATACTTAAATCAAATATATTTCAATCAAATATTTTAAATTTTATAACAAAAATTTATGTTTTATTGTATCATTTATTGAAATAAAATTAAAAATTTAATTTTTTCTTAAAAAATCATAATTAGTATACAATTATACTATCTATTGGAATAAAACTAAAAAAATCAAATAAGGGGTCTAAGTCATTCATAATAGAATATAAATTTTACATCTAAATTCATATTCTATTATGTCACTTGTTGAAATAAAATCAAAAATAAAAGTCTAGTTTTTAAAAAAAAAATTATAGTTAGTATATAATTATATTATCTATTAGAATAAAACTAAAAAATTAAACAAGGGGTCAAACTGTAATGAACACAATATCTTTTAGTTTTAATTGGAATAGTTTGGTATTTTAATTTATAAATTCCAATAAATAATATAATTGTATACTAATTACGATTTTTTAAGAAAAAAATAAATTTTTATTTTTGATTTTATTTCAATAAATAATATAATAGAACATGAATTTTGTTGTAAAATTTAAAATATTTGACATTTTATCTTTGATTACAGTATTTTTTGTCTAACTATGATATTTTAAATTTAAGGGTCTAAGTATTATATACCAACAATCTTTATGGGGTCTAAATATAATTTATTGACTGATATATTTACAGCAGGGTTTAAGTGTTACACGCGTATAAACTTGAGGGAGTCTATGTGTAATATTTTAAATATCAGGGGATATGAGTGATTAAATGACAAACTTCATGGGGTCTAGGTGTAATTCTCCCAAATTATAAAAATAGCTTATTCAATAATTTGAANAGGGTCTGTGTGTAATATTTTAAATATCAGGGGATATGAGTGATTAAATGACAAACTTTATGGGGTCTAGGTGTAATTCTCCCAAATTATAAAAATAGCTTATTCAATAATTTGAAATTAATGAGTGGTTGAATCGAGATTTTGTTAATTATTTACCTACATTATTATAAAATTCAACAAATATTTTAGAAAAATATGGCATTGTAGTTCCAAGGCTGACACCGTACAGTGCAGCCCATCTATCCTCCTTCGCTACCAACCCCATACCCACTCAAATCTACCACCTTGAATTATTAGCTCACCCACAACCCCCTCTCTCTCTCTCTCTCTCTCTCTCTCTCTCTCTCTCTCTTGTAATTTACACATCTCNCTCCTCCTTCGCTTACCAACCCCATACCCACTCAAATCTACCACCTTGAATTATTAGCTCACCCACAACCCCCTCTCTCCTATCTCTCTCTCTCTCTCTCTCTCTCTCTCTCTCTCTCTCTCTCTCTCTTAATTTACACATCTCTCACCCTCTTCAAGCCCTTTGAAGAGCTAAAAGCACAGATCTTTACCACCATTGTTCTCAATTTTTCTGTTTTTTTCCCCCTAATGGGTACCCACGGAAAGGTCTTTACTTTAGCCGAGGTCTCCGAGCACAACAATCCCAAGGACTGTTGGCTCGTCATCGGTGGAAAGGTATACTTTTTTTCAGTTTATTACATGTGGTTCGATTTGTCAATGCTACCACATGCCTTTACTAACCATATCCGTCAAAGATCCAGAATATTCATTAGCTTTCTTTTTTCTTAATCTGGGTTATAGATTTTGTTGTGTGCACCGTGTTTTTTTTGAATGGTAAGATGAATCTAATCTGATTTAGATACTCTGTTCTCTATTTGACAATTGGATTTTTTTTGCCCTTCTTTTTGATTATTTGTTATAGCTCTCTTTACCTGTTTATATAGATTTGTGCTGTAGCAGAGTTCTGAGACTTTGCCTATTTGACCGTGATAAATATTGAGTCTAAATGCTTAGATCTCTTTATATAGGCACTTCAGTCTATTGATTCTGGTAAAAATTAAAATGAGCTTAGATGCTTTAAAGATAATTCTGGATCCTGAAGTTTCTAGTTGATAATCTCGGCCAAACATTCCCTTTTATTTATGTGGGCCTATGAATTACGGACATTCTCGAGAAGGTGATGAATCCATGTTCAACACCGACTCTAATCCCTCGTCGGATACTCGTCGTATACTCTCAGACACTCTTTTATTCATGTCCATAATTAAATAATAAAATTTTAATTTCAGACATGTATCCCACACTTCTTTGGTAATGTATTTGACATTTCTTTAGGCTATGTCTATTACTAAACAATAAACATGTGATTAATGAAGCTCAAAAGTTTGACTAATAAGGATCTTATATGAGAAAACATATAACTACCAACACTAGACATGTTGAAGTTATACTAAAAATATAATAATAAAAACAAAATATGCATAAAAGTTTTCAAAAAGAAGAATTGAGAGAATGAGAGCAATCATTTACATTATATATGTTGGGTACACATTTTTTTACACAAAAAATTGATGATTATTGACTATTATTATGCTTTGGTCAAAAAATTCACACTACATAACTAGGCATTACATTTACCTATCACAAAGTACTGATTTGTTTTTATGAATATAATGTATGATTATCACTATATTTGGGATAAATTATATACTTTTATAACGTGTTTACGATGTGTCCGCGTCCTACTTTTTTGAGAGATATCGTATTCGTTTCGTATCCGTGTCTCGTGTCTGTGTCTGTGTCTGTGTCCATGCTTCTTAGATGTGGGACACCTTTTTATTCTTGCATGAATTANGATAAATTATATACTTTTATAACGTGTTTACGATGTGTCCGTGTCCTACTTTTTTGAGAGATATCGTATTCGTTTCGTATCCGTGTCTCGTGTCTGTGTTTGTGTCTGTGTCCATGCTTCTTAGATGTGGGACACCTTTTTATTCTTGCATGAATTAAGTTGTGATGTTTAAAAGATTGAGACCATCTCTATTATGATTTCGCTCAATTTTCACTCACAATGTTATGCCATTTACCATGGTTTTAAGTGGGACCTCCCATTTATAAATGGCCCCTCACCCATATATGGTGGTGACTACCATTGAGTGAAATTGAGGGAATGTGTAACAGAGAGGATTGGGATTCATGATTAAATACCTATTAACTAGGTGAGGTATAGATGCAAGNACCTCCCATTTATAAATGGCCCCTCACCCATATATGGTGGTGACTACCATTGAGTGAAATTGAGGGAATGTGTAACGGAGAGGATTGGGATTCATGATTAAATACCTATTAACTAGGTGAGGTATAGATGCAAGATTTTGGCAAACTATTTGATATTGGAGTTACCGCTCCGTGGTTTAGATGCAGGATTTTGCTAAATTATTCAGTATTGGGAGTACTCAAATGGGGAACTTTTGAGTGATTACTCTGTTAGTAACTTAAAATCAGGAAAGCCCATGTTGGACCCTTAGGTTCAGATGCAAGATTTTCCTTATCTTAAAATATCAGGAATACCAACATGAGATTACATGGTGAAAATGGAAGGATCGGGCTTTAATGATCCAATACCGGGAATACAATTGGGGTTAAATACATCAAACAGTGGATTCTCCTTTTGTGGTTTAAATACTGGGAAAATGTTCACAATTTTTAAAATCTTTTGAGATGGTTGATTGCTGTCATTATTGATATGATTATGTGATCTAGTGTTTTTGAACTTGTAAGTACATTTTTTGCTTTGTAACTGGTTCAACATTGTTTGCGCTGTTTCAATTGCTTGTTCACTTGATATGCAGTCATTGTCTGTTTAAAGGTCTTTTTCCCTTTTTTTTTTCCCTTGCATCTGGCAAAGATCTTATTTACCACTATTCTCTTTCTTCTTGGCCACGTATCAGTTTGTTTGATGATATATGTGTTGAATGCATGATAATATTTGATTGGGGGTCTAAATATTCCCACTTGGGGAAGAATTTTCGTTCAGGTCTTATTTTAACTTATGATTTTAGCCTGTTCTCAAATTTCCGCGAGTGTCATAAATTTTCATATCATCAAATGATTGAATTCCTATTGCTTGGCTTACAATTTTTTTCTGTAATTACTGTATGATTTTTATGAATTCTTTTGATAAGATAGCTTGTCCAATATTGACTCCTGTGGGATGAGATATAATGAATGATATATTTAAAATGGACTCAGACTTAGATTTTACGCCTCCTTAACATGTTTTGATTTCTTGCCTGATTTTTGATTTTTACAAGGATGGATATTTTTGAATGCTATTAGCGAAAGCTATAAATGTGGATTTTAACTTGTGCTTAGAAGGTGCAACTCTACCACACCTCATGCACACGAGCTCAGTGTTCTGATTCCGTCCATGCATTAATACGTTGGAACAGGTATATGATGTGACAAAGTTCTTGGAAGACCATCCTGGTGGTGACGAGGTTTTGTTGTCGGCCACAGGTACAACAAAAACTTGCAACATTTGTCACATTACGAATAGCTATGGTGACTTCTTGTGTTCTGTTTGAGTTGTAGTGAAAGTTTACACATAGCAGTAAACTTTTAAGTTGGAAGTTAATTGTGGCATTATAGACCCAGAATACAAAATTTGGGGCTAAGCAATACAATACATGGACCCTGGTTGATTTCCTGATGATTTATCTGTTGCAGGGAAGGATGCAACTGACGATTTTGAGGATGTCGGTCACAGTGACAGTGCAAGAGCGCAGATGGATGACTTCTACGTTGGTGACATTAATTCAGAAACCATCCCCAGCTCGATCAAGTATACTCCTCCCAACCAGCCTCACTACAACCAAGACAAGACATCAGATTTCATCATCAAGCTGCTCCAGTTCTTTGTTCCGCTGCTTATCTTGAGTGTGGCTGTTGGTATCCGTTTCTATACCAAATCATCAGCTTAATATTTGAGCATGTGAGAGAATTGGAATGCAATCGGTAATAAGTTTGTCCAAGTGACTTAAGAACTCCCCCCCCCAACAACAACAAAAAAAAAAAAAAACTTAATTGTTAGGTTTGGCTCTATTGTTGAAAATCCTGGGGATAGTAGAAAGTTTCAACTTCTAAGTGGTAACGATTATGTGCTTGTTTTCTCTTGGCTTACTTTCTGAAACTCGAGATTTTCCTCATTGTTGATGTGCCATTGTGAAAGTTGTCTCTTTTATATGACTTCGTTTATTTGTTTATCTTGTGAATTTTGCTCTATCAACGAACCCATGAACTCTGAGTACCATTAGACCAAAGGCTTGTCACGTGTTTATTGGTTGTTTGACTCTTAAAACCAAACCTCTGCTAAAGAGGAAACTCATTTAGCTTTCAGCATGATCTTCACAAAAACAAAAGGAACTAATAAGGTGGATGATCACGTTTTTTCCGAGGGATGGTTATTAACTAGGTCTCCCATTACAGCTTTTTCTTTGTCCATAAGCTGCTGTTTGCAGCTTTTCCTCTTAAATCACTGTTATTGCAGTGAGTTTTTTTTTTTTTTTTTTTGGTCATTGCTCAAGTGTCCTTCGTAATCCATTTGAGGCTCTTTGACTTGGCCATGGCGCCTCTTTATCTGCAAAACCATTTTTTATAATTCAATAATGTGTTTTGAATGTAATGTGCCCTTTCTTTTGGTCTCGGCAGGCCGGGTTAAGATAGAACAATGATCAAACTACCCTGATTTTTAAACATTCCTCCCTCCCAAAGCCGTGCTTTTGAACTTATTTACTTGGCTACAATAGCTTTTATAAAAGCGTTAGTTTGACCCACGTTTTTCAATGTCAAAGTGTGTCTGCAAAACATACTTTGCAATGAAAACCCTGAGTCAACTAAGATAGAAACTACAGCACATTGAAAGTGTCATAATTTGGTGAAAAACTCGGTTAAGGTACCGGACAGTGCCACTACTAGCTGAAGTTTGTTTTCAGAATCACTAAGAAAAAGATAAAAACAAGAGTCTCCGGCCATTGCACATACAGTTAGTTCATAAAACACCAAAAGAAGACAAAGGGACCTTCTAAGATCCTTCCACCTTTATCTGATATTTAAACTGGATTCTAACAACTTCTTAGAACAAAGTGGACCATACCTGATACCTCCAATGATCCTTTCATAGAATTCTCCACCATTTTTTTGTTATTTAGTGAAGAAGGCAAATTATAAAAGGGTAAATAGGTTGCCTTGTGTTCCTTCCCCTTTGGTTGTTCTGTTTACCTAACAGCCAGAATGAAGCAACCTACAATGAGAGTTTCTACCAGGGAAAAAGGTGTGCTAAAGTTGGTGCATCCAGGTGGGTATGTGGAGATTCACAAAGAACCCATAACTGCAGCTGAAGTCATGAGAAAGAACCCGAGGCATTGTGTTGCACGGCCTGACGTGTTTAAGTTTCCATGGATTGTGGTTCGACCTGAGTCTGTTTTGATTCCAGGGAAAGTGTTCTACATTGTTCCTAATCGCACAATCCATCATTTGTTAAAGGCCAGAGGGCAGTGTAACCAACCTTCTTCACAACCGGACCAATCTCCAAAGAATCAGGACCATCATCGCGCTCCCAAAAGAAGTTCACTTTGCAATTCAGGGGCTGGGATGACACCCAAGCACCATTACCATGAGCAACGCCTTCAGAGACAATTTCAATGTATGCCTCAGGATGGGACAAGTTCACAGGAAGAAGACTCCAATGGGATTCTCGCTAAAAAATTCTTCATCAAGTCACGTCCTGAGCCAATCATTAAGACCAGAAACACCCACCAAGAATTTGATAATAAATATCAAGTCGATTCATCAGCTTACATTAGACCTCCTCATTCTAAGGAATATCATTTCAATGGAAATGAAATTGGTTCGGTATTGCCTAAAACCAAGCTTGGTAATCTACAGTACAAAAGATGTAAAAAAGTAATTAACTTGAAATCTTGTCAGAGGAAGCAAGACAGTGTTCGTAAATCACTTTATCTTAGGGTAACTTTTTCTTTGTCAATTAAAAGTGCAAGTAGTCAAAGAGATCTCCAACAGGATGCGTGAGCTTGCTAGCTCGTTAACACTAGTTAAACTGCAAAATTTTGAACTGTATCATGTTTTCATGCTTTTTGCTTAGCCTCTCTATATGGTCATGGTTGTCTCTTTAGAAGATGTATTTTGTTCCAGTACAGATGCTGTCATTAATTTGTTCCGCCATATGCTGTCCATCTAATTTCTTTTCGAGGTCAGTTGCTAGCAAAATTTTTGGACTCCCTGCTTTCTTATGTTGAAAGGAGCGCAGTAATCAACTCACTAAATCTTAAATCTGAACTAAACTTTACATTTGAGACAAGGCTTTTACATTTGTCAAGATGAGGAGAATTTCAAAGCCTTTCGGACAAACACAAATCCACTCAACGTTACAACCTTAAAATAGCAGCACAGAAGAATCATGTGAAAAGTTTTTCACCAATCTTTCATTTGTTCACCAAGAAGACAGGTGAAGAGAAAATGGTTTGCAAAATCTTAGCTTATATCATGGTGGCATCAAGAAGCCTAGGTTAATGGAATTAAAGTAAGAGTTCAGCAACTTCAACTTTTTAATGAAAATTCATTCCTTTCTCTCGAAGTTCAGCCAGGAAGAGAAGAATAAGGGGAATAACATGATTCAGCAGTTTAAGCATTTTAATCCATATGACTATATCTGACGATATCTATAAAATGTCAAATTCAAAGAAGTTAGAACTAAAAACAAAACATAATCAAATACTTCTGGCTTTCCAATTGTTGCTATAGGTTTAACATTTCAAATAAGTTTTAAGCTCTAAATCACAGAAATACGTATCAGAAACTTGTTACTTGAGAGATCAATGGTTTTCTATCAAATTTTCTTTTTACCTTTACACTGCACCATCAGTTTGTTTGTCTGTGTTCTGTCATGTGATATTTTATTTATGCAAGCATGAAATACAGTAAAAATATTCTAAATCATTAGCCTTCTTCCATCTGTTACTTTTNTACCATCAGTTTGTTTGTCTGTGTTCTGTCATGTGATATTTTATTTATGCACGCATGAAATACAGTAAAAATATTCTAAATCATTAGCCTTCTTCCATCTGTTACTTTTCTAATTTCTTCGGCAAGAACTTCTAGTTTAGTAACATGCAATACATTGACTCACAGTACACAGTACAGAACACAGGCAAACAAAGGTGTGCNTTCTAATTTCTTCGGCAAGAACTTCTAGTTTAGTAACATGCAATACATTGACTCACAGTACACAGTACAGAACACAGGCAAACAAAGGTGTGCTAAAGTTGGTCCATTGATCATTTGAAGTAGTTTCGAGAGTCTAAACTGTTTTACCTCCGTTGCTATTGATCATAGTAAGATTCAGGAGTTTTTTTGTCCATTCAAGCAATTTGGAATTCATGACTAGACTGGGGAGTTATAATGTAAAACAGAGAAGCCATTGGAATTGAAGATGATGAAATGTTTGGGTGAAGGCAGCAGAAACTAAGTCAAAGAATCATGGAACTTCCAGAAAAAAACCCACAAGTCATTTGGATATCAGTTGCTTGCAGCACACTAGACAACTTACAAATGTAATTGACTCAATTGGGTTGTGAGCACAAGAAAAAATTAGTAACAATTAGGAATACTATGGTACCCAAAGATTAGATAACCAGAATATTAGTTTGAGATGATTGGAACATTAAGGCTGCAAAATACTTGAAATTAGGATGTCCCACATGTTTAGGTTATACAATCTTGCATAAACTATATCAAAGTCTTGCTCACTGAAAAACGACCCCTGTGACTGAAACAAGAACTTCTTTCTGTTGCTAAAGCAAAGCCCATAACTCATGTACAACATGGGAGTAAGAAAAAAAAAGTGTCAATAGGGAACCAAAGGAAAAAAAACCCAAAATAAACATAACTGACGACTTGCCTCATAGTTACACAACAGAAGCTTTTAACAAAAATTGAGCAAATTGAATTACCTAAGAATTGTGCTTGTTCACGTTCTCTCGGTTAGTTTAGAATCCGTTCTTTGTGACTGTTTTGAGGGAGAACTTGATCCCCTTGAAGAACTATGACCGAAAAAGTTCAGCTTGCCAATCTTTTTGGAAAAGGAACTCATGAATTTATGAGAATTAGATTTTTCCATATCCCTCTTCATACAAACATGTTCTTTTTCCAGATCATTTAATCTCATCCGCAGTCGAGCTAGCTCAAGTTTCAGCTCCCGGTTCTCTCGCCTTAGTGATGCATAGTTGTCCCGGGGAGACATTGCAGCACTGAGAGCACCGCTGCTGATCCGCCAAGATTGATGCATTGGCTTGTGGTCATCATCAGGATAAGAGCAGGATAAGGAATTTCGGAGCCTCAACTGTTCAAAATAAAGTACTTGCACAATTGACTGGAGAGGAAGGCGTTCATTTTGTGCAGCATGTGCACCAGCTTCTTGTGAAAGCTTTTGAAAATCGATCAGGTTGCAGAGCCTCTTCCTATCTGGATCTGATAAACCCTGATGAGCCTGCAATATGCAGACATGGACAATCAGACAGATATTTCTGAAGCTTGATTCAACTATTCAAGAAGTAGGTAAATTTAGAATACAAGCTAAAAGTTCTTTTCCTCGGATTAGTTGCTTTTACACCACTGTTTTTTCAGGGATGAAAGTGATTTAAGTGCTTCAAAATGAAGAAAACATTACAAGCTTTAAGAAACATGCAGTATAGAAATTTTTTAAAGCAGTTTTTGTGAAGTTTTGATTCATATCCAAGCAATCACTTCCAGTGACACGATTCAGATAACAAAAATGCAAGAGTTGATACATATTACAAGAGAATAGACGAAGTACGTACTTTGAGGTAAACATCAATGGCTCGATAAAGTCCATCATGAATAGTACGTGCATGTGCTGGTAAAGTTTCTGCTATGGCTATGAATTTGGTGAGCTTGAGATTTGCATCAGGTGCAATTTCAGCAAGGTAATTGTCAACCAATTTTGAAACTTTGAATAATGCAGTTTGGGAGGGTGAAGGAGGACTATCAGATTCAAATACTGAGGCATCTTCCATATCATCTTCGCTATCATCTTGCTGAGCAAAGTCAACCAAGATTCTGTGAACTGTGTCAACATCAAATAAAGTGTCACCAGCATGGCGGAAGGAGGGGATCAAAAGATCATCAAGAGTAGCTATATCTAGCTGTGACCCAATCCGTCTTTCAAGATCAAGCCTACAAGCAACTGAGCAGTCAAGCATCAAAGCGCTTCGCAACAACCCCAAGAGAAAGTTGATGGGCACAGTGAATTTTTCAACAGGAAGAAGGCTAACAATTGTCTCAACCACAAGTCTCTCATGCCCACTTGAACCAGAAACCAAGTCAACTTTTGGCTGGCTAGATTGATTCCATAAGCTGGATTTCTTAGTCAACTCTTTCTGAGCATAGTTCACAAGTGATGCTCCAATACTCTCAGGTCGGACACCACGACATTTCATGGCTGTTATAACTAACTGATACAAGTCAATCCGAAGAACAGAGAGATCTTCTATCCACCAGTCTCCTTCACATTTGGCCTGCCGGTTCATGTGAAGTCTTCCTGAGCTACTATACTCCAAGCGTGAGAAGCTCGAAGCAATTTGCTCTACACAAGCTTTAGAGGCTATAGCATCAATACATCGGCCAACAATTTTCAGCTCATCAGCTAGAGGAATTAGATTTTCACAATGTTGCAGGACTTCAACACACATTTCAAGATTCTTGCAGACAATGCTATCAAGATATTCTTCAGCACGGGAACCAAGATTTTCCTTAGAATACTCCTCGTTCATTTCCAGGTAATCTGACACACAGCAAAGCTGAGCAACATTTGCAGATATAATCTCGAAGTTAACACCATAGCAGAATTTGGCTGCCAGCTCAAATGACTCGGCACCTCCGGGAAGGCTCAAGAGCTCAATCCTTGATATATCAGAATCCCTGTGTTCTGCTACCAACTTCCGGATTCGTCCACTCCGAGAGACAAGAGGGAACTGCAGGTAGTAGTTAAGTTAATAAGAATTCTAGTATCTCACCATTTATTTTAATTATATTCAATGGCTTAAATAAACACACTTCATGGAAAAAAGAAAAGAAAAGTGCCTACCATGTGAGAACCGTTCCTCTTGGAAAAGAAATTAGTGGCTACTTATGGAACAAATTTACACATTACAAACTTGGAAGAAGATTCTGTTAAAAGGGCCGTATAACACAATCATTAAGAAAATTCACTGTGTACATCACTGTCATCACATTAATGCAGAGAAATAATGAACATAAGAAGTCTGATTTTGATGCTGAAGCTTCACCAGTGGGCTAATAAGAAGAATCACTTGAAGCTTGATTTAGTTGCTGGGAAGCTAGAGGGGAAGATAGAACATTATTAACAATTCATGAGGCTCAAATGGGCGTTTCACATTTGAAAACATGTGAACAGGGTTATATGAGGGTACAAGCTCACATCATTAAGCATGAGAACAGGGTTTGACCATGAAGCCTAAAAGTAGGGTCTACTACCATTTCTCCCACAAAAGAGGGTCACAAAATTATGGTCTTTTGGTTTTGATTACATTGATTTCTTCTTACCCACTAAACCTTATTTTGGACGGTGAATATTATTCACAATTTGCAATTTTCAATATGTAATAAAAGTATTTCAGGTCTGATAGCTTAATTGACTCAGGCACTTACATAGAACACAAACAGAAAAATAGAATTCTATTCAAAATGTGGAATACTGGCATTTACCTTATGCAATGCAAATGTAACACCATCCACTTCTATCGTTATATCACTAGGAACATCTCGGAATATCCTGAAAATGATCAACAGCCAGTTACCAATAGAAGAATATGAACATTTACTATGAGTCAATACATCAGTTCAAGATCAGAACAATATTTGACGTTTGCTAAGACACGTAATGATGTTTTAACAACTAGAGGAAGTGGGGGAAACGAAATAGGCAAAGCCAGTAAGAAAACTATATACGAGAAAGATATGGAATACATGCATTGACTGTTGCAGAATGCAATTTCAGACTAACAGTTCCAGTGTCAGGAAACATTGAAACCTTTAGGCACTGTTTGGGTGATCTAAAATGGAGGGAAAATAAGTAAACAACATTCTGACATGCTTTCACGTGCTTTCCTTTCTCCAACATGAAAACTATACTTTGCAATCACAATTAATTCTGAGGCTGAATCTACTAGACTTTCTCATTTTGTCAGCCCTCAATGAAATGGAACATGAGCTGAGAATTCACAACCAAAGAAACTTAAGCTCTTAATGCTTATATATTTCTCTCATGGGCAGCTTAGATGTAGTGATAGCGTCAAAGATGTTAATATTTAGTATTAACAACAGATGCAGAGATACGGATTGAGTACTGGATGAAAGGAAGTCCTAGCAGCAACAACTCGGTTTAGTGTGATGCGGACGAACTTCCATCTAAGAAGACGGTGATCCAAGTTTTACATGCAAATTGAGCTTTGACAAGAAATTACAAGACAAAGTTGGCATTACATCAAGATGCATAGAGGTCCATCACACGAGTAAAGAAAATTCATCTTTTAAAGATCTTAGAGCTATCAGTAGCACCAACGTGGAAACCAAAAACATACTCAAAATCTTTTTAAAACAAATTTGGTTCGACATGGGATCTGAAACAAGAGCTATTTCGCATTCCAACAAATTCATAATAGTCTGTAATTGAGATAAATCAATGCCTATCACTCATATTCCCATCCTGTCTGCGACCCTTTTTCCCACAAGGAAGCAAATAAACAGCGAAAAGAATAAAAACATAAAAAGCATAAGCACATCCAGACAACAGCTAAAAACCATAAACAAGTAAACAACTGCTATAATGCGGTGTGTCCATCTTTCCAAGTGAAAAGAAATCAGACAATGTTTAGAGCTCAAGAAGATTTATTAGAAATCCCACGAGAAAGAGAAACCAAAATGACAAGTTCGCCAGAAATAAAAAGTAATCAAATTACTGAAGCATCCACAAGAGACATCGTCAAATATAAAAATGTCAGAACCCCACAAATCTAACACCAAGAAGATCTTCAATTGAGCTAATACAGAGAATAAGAACATAGAGGGAGAGTAAGAAAAAAACCATTCGCTGCAACGCTGGCGAGAACACTTGGCCAGTGACAGCTGCTGGTGGTGCTTTTCCATGGAAAGAACAAAGAAATCCAAAAGAGTGCAATGGAATTATAAGAGATAGAAAAAAAAGAATGGGGGGTTAAGGACTTAGCTAACAGAGGAGAGAGACAGAGACCTAGTTGGAGATATTGCTGGTGGTAGAGGAATGGATCTTTGGCCATTTTTGTCAAACAGTTTGAGTTCAAATCATAGATTGCAATCGTCCAAAGCAAATGGGCCTCTTTTGTGGGTCATGTTTCCAAACAACTCTGTATAACATGTTAATATAAAATCATCTCAATTGCCTCTAGAACTGTTGGAGATCTGATTTGGCTAAATCTAAGCTGATAAAGGGGCGTAAAGAAAGGAGAGGTTTGTAACTTTGTTTGTTCATTAAACAAAGTCAAGAAAAGAGCTCTCTCTGTCTCTCTCTCTCTCACTAAAGACAGAGAAAAAGAGGGAAAAAAGCGGGAAGAAAGGTCGTTATTCGGTTTGACGTATTTTACACTTTGCTCCCTTAAACAAATCATTGCGCTGTTTTTACTTTTATCACGCGCTTGTTAGACCTGCCTACCCCAATGTTCTTGGTTATTTCTTTTTAGTGGCGGTGATTTTTTTTATATTTTTTTTTTCAACTGTTAGGAGTGTTTGAATCAATTTACGCACAATANGTTCTTGGTTATTTCTTTTTAGTGGCGGTGATTTTTTTTATATTTTTTTTTTCAACTGTTAGGAGTGTTTGAATCAATTTACGCACAATATAATTAATTTTTTTCATAATTCGGTCAATGTGGACCATCTATGTCAAAACTAGAATATTTATGAGAGATAAATCTTTCATAATCTGGTATTAAAAAGTTATCAAGATTTGAACTCAAGAAGTTTAAATTTACGACCCGTCCTCAATTACCACTTGTGGAGCCCCTTTGTAGTTAATTTTGTTAAAATTTTCATATACTAAATTTCAAGAAAACATTGAAAATTTAGCATAAGTTTTCTTAAAATTTAGTATATGAATATATCTATATATATGTAATATATACTTATAATAATGTTTGTCCAAGGGTCACATTATACCATTGGACTATACGTTAGTGTTTAGAACTTCAATTTTTTTTTTTTAATTCTAAAATTTGGCTTCATATATCAAAAAAGAACCCAAGATTGGAACATAAAGAAGTAAAAGGAAATGAATGGAAGAAAAATAGAAGACGACTTTTGCAATTATGATAAAATTCTAATGTAGGAAAAGGATTTATGATATTTGAGGCCAATTGTTGTGAATTTTAAAATTTAATTCTAACCGAGAATTATATACTTAAAAGTGTATGAATGTATGTAAGGTCTATATATATATAAGGGTATGAAATTATTAAAGATTATCTTAACTACTAAATCCGACAAGGCACGAGGTACTAGTATGGTAGGACAATTGACCATATTGAATAATTGGAGCNCTTCTAAGATGTTGGGGCCTTATTTTTTTTAGGAATTTTTTAAGGGACCATGGATCTGTTCTTCAAAAAACCTNTGGAGCCTTATTTTTTTTAGGAATTTTTTAAGGGACCATGGATCTGTTCTTCAAAAAACCTACAACATTTATGACTTCTTTATTTTTTCCAACCGTTACGAGTGTGTGAATCAACTTATACATCTTGATTAATCTCTTTTTTTTGATTTGATTAAAAATAAATTATTTACGCTGGAATTAAGATATTTATAAAAGATAAATTACCACTGACTTAGCTATAAGGTACAACATAAAGAGCCCAAATAAAGTAAAATNAGTCACGAGTGTGTGAATCAACTTATACATCTTGATTAATCTCTTTTTTTTGATTTGATCAAAAATAAATTATTCACGCTGGAATGAAGATATTTATAAAAGATAAATTACCACTGACTTAGCTATAAGGTACAACATAAAGAGCCCAAATAAAGTAAAATGGGTTTGACTGAAATTTTGTGTATTTGGTTGGTTTAAGTTCATATTGTAATATAATTGAACTTGTGTAATATATATCTAAATTTTTGTTGATCAATTGAAATCAAGCATATGTTCATTAATTCATCTCGACCCCAAGTAGGGGGCAGAGCAAAGAATATCTATGAAAAGAAAAAATATAACTAAAAATAATTCATTAGTTGATGTAAAAAAATTAAGTTCAATAATAAAGCTCAAGACAAAATTATTGTGAAACAGTAAATTCAATTTTTATTTAGCCGAAATAAAATTTGAACAAAAAGACACACAATAATTTTTTTAATATATTTTAACTTAATTATATATTTTAATAAACGTTCTTTAAAATCTCTAAAATTTTGTATATTAATTAAATATAAATTAATTTTTCACTAATTTTCTATTAATGCGCACAATTACAAATCTATAGTAAAATCATTCTTCATTTAATTGCAAAGTTGAGATCATTATCGATCTTATAAAGAAATTTTCTTCCCTATTTAAAATAGCTTGAAATATTTTTGAATTAGAAACTTTTTTTTTTTTTGTATATAATCATATTTCATTGAGTTATAATTATTAATAAAAAAAATGATAAATAAAAATTAAAAATTATTCTTAAAAAGTAACGAACATTATGTAACTCATGTTAGATAACGAGATATTGATTTTTGATCAATATACAAATAGATTAGGATAGTTATATCTAATTTACTCAATTCAAAAATAAAATATTTATTTTAAACGGTTAGTGAACTACTAATTTATTAAAAAAAATAAAGATTAGAACCATTATTGAAATTTTTAAAAATTTAAGGGACAAATATAATGTATTAAATAATTTTATGAGATCTCATCAAAGGACTCAAAAATGGGACCGGGGGAGGAAGTGTCGTCATGCGGGTTCGCCCCTGACCCGAAGGAATAAGTCAAACGATAATACAGGCGAGTTATAAATTTGAATGTCTTAAATTTAAATCTTGACAATCCTTTAGGGTCAGACCATGTGAGATTTATTCCTTATAAATACTCTAGTCCTGACATGGTTGACTTGCTTTTAATAGAATCGAAAAAGAGATTAATCGAAGTATACCTAATAGAATCTAGACACAATGACTGTTAAATAAAAAAAATGGGTTATTTGCCCCGATGGTCCTCAAAGTATGAAGTTTATCTCATTTTGGTTTTCAATATTTCAATTGCATCATATTAGTCCCTAAAATATTGAATATATTTATATATGGTTCTTCAAACAAATAACGTTCAAACTGCTAACAATTTTTTATTATAAATTTACCACGTAATACTTAAATATGGATAAAGAAAATTTTTAATAGCGCTTAAACAAAATTTGGTTAGCTATTGACAAAAAATATGTAATATAGGTAGTTTTTGACCAAAATTTAGATAGTTTATGATCAAAATTGTATAATTTTGGTAACTACTTAATTAAAATTTGAGTAAAAATTTAGTCGAGGGTTATCTAATTTTTTTTGTCCATATTTAAATATCACATTACAAGTTTATGATAAAAAATCGTTAATAATCTGAACGTTGTCTGTTTAAAAGACGATATAGAGACATATTAAATATTTCAGAAACTAAAATGATACAATTAAAATATTATGAATCAAAACAAAATAACTCTATATTTTGAGAACTTCAAACACCATTAATCAAAAATAAAAAATCATATCAAAGTATGACAGTAAAAGTGTGAAATTCTTGGCCTTTAAAGTTATTCACTTTCCACGTGAGAGAAATAAAACAAAGAAATTTTTCAAAAAAGGAGAAAGCAGCACAATCGAAAAATTTTGGAGGTGTGAGTGACGGGGGTCCACTTTTTTTGATAATTTTGTATGATGATTACCCCACCCACCTCGGGCGGGTCATGTTGGATTTATATGCTTATTGGGGTCCAAGTGTCCCCATGCCAGTCATCATCAAAGTTTATAATGATATCATATTCCTCCCCCTCCCTCCCCCCTCCCCCAACCACCATTACTACTACCACCATTACTTTCACATAAATGGCAACAATTTTTTTCCCCTTTAAACCAATTTTTTTTTTTATCGTTTTTAGGGTTGTTTGGATCAATTTATGTGTATTTTAATTAATTTTTTTAGATTCAATCAAAGATAAATCATGATTTAACCCCAAAAGAATTATTCGTTATGATTTGACTCTAAAAAAATTATTAAATTTTAAATTTTGAGTATTTAAATTTACAGCTCATCTATGTTTCCGCTCGACGTTGAGTTGAATGAACTCAAAAGGTTTGTATGGAATGAATGGTACTCATGCTTATGCATGCAAATAAGGACCCATAACAATGGGGGTGTTTGGATGCAGGATTAATTCCACTGGATAGAATCTTTTTTTTTTGATAAAGACTGAATAGATAGATGTCGGACGTTTAGCATGAAAGATTGGACTATTGAAAATCAAATTGGAACATTNTTTTTTTTTGATAAAGACTGAATAGATAGATGTCGGACGTTTAGCGTGAAAGATTGGACTATTGAAAATCAAATTGGAACATTTGGTCTGCCTGGAAGGACAAAATAATACCTCGGACGGAGCATTATTTTCTGGCCAAATCTGATGTTACATTGCATTAATTCATATTAAAAATTACTAGGTTCATGACATTTTGCCCTCTAATTTTATAGAATAATTGCACTTTGTCCAAAATAGCAGATGATGCTAGCTTTGTTTAAAAAAAAAATAGTATTGTATCTTTAAATTTTATTATTTTAATTTTTTTTTATAATTTTTATGGGTCATTTTACAATAAAAAATTNAAAAAAAAAATAGTATTGTATCTTTAAGTTTTATTATTTTAATTTTTTTTTATAATTTTTATGGGTCATTTTACAATAAAAAATTATAATTTTTGTGAGAATTTTTACTACTTTTGTTGTTAAGATCAATCGCAAGTACCACAAAAAAAGTAAAAATAATTACCACAAAAAATTATAAAAATATTCGCAAAATGATAAATGATGGTACGTTACTAAATTATTATTTTTTCGGTGTTGAAGACTTGTCTCTCTCGTAATGGTAAATTTGACTGTGTTTTCTATATCGGACAAAGAGCAACACTTTGGTAAAATTAAACGGTCAACATCAAATATTTTTGTTTTTGGGGGGATCAAAAGCAAATAGCTACAAACTTCCATGGACTAAGTGTCATTGATCCAAAATTATTTAACATGGACATGATATT